ATTTTGAGCTTGCCCTTAGAACATTACTGTGGTAACAAAAGATGAGACAATACACTAAAAAAGACAGAAAAAATACAAACATTGAACGTATGAGGCATTTAAAAATAAGATGGTGATTTCTATTAGAAATGCAAATATAGGTTTTGAAATTGAGTAATCATACAAAGAGCAGAAATTCCCTTTAAGTAAAGATTCATGGGGCTTGAATACCTTGCAGGAGGCAAACACGAAATTTTGCTTTATTTAGCATATCACACATACTGTACTAATACACATATGTAATATGTAGTAAGTGTTCAAATTTATTTTCCAAAACCTCAGTTAACACTTTTTCCTAACTGAGTAAGCACTTTTTTCAATTTATACTATCAAAAATGCTATATGATAACCTGAAAACTGAGCTGAAAATGTAAGTGGGAATTAAACACTGAAAAAACTTCAGGGCACTATAATATACATTCTTGCATTATTTTTAATTCTGTAAAAGTTACAAAACACAAGAAATGTTTAAGCAGGAGATTTGCATAAGAATTCTAATCACAAGAGGTTATAGGAAAAATATTAGGAAATGTAATGTATGAGCCAAATAAGTTAATTCCATTTGTTATAAAGAGTGATAGGTTAGCTAATTTGGTGAGTTTGTTTATAGTCATAGTTCTCAGGCCTACATGGAAATTGTTCAATAACCTCATTTCATCCCAGAATCATTATATCAAAATTCTGAGAAAAGAAACAAACAGAAGATTAAAACTACTAGCCTATGAAGTAGTCTAACAAATAAAATTGTCTACAAGTATTCTTTACTAACAGTGATTAGATTGTCTTTAATTTTAAGTGCAGCAGATAATGTTAATGTATTAATTGTCCAATGATCACACTTCATCCCAGAGAAGTTGTATAAAAACTCTGAGAAAAGAAACAAGCAAATGTTTAAAACTACCTTCATGAACCAATCTAACAAATGAAATTATCTATAAGTATTCTTTACTAACACTGATTAGCACATCTTTTTTACTTTTAATGTTAATGTGCTAAACTTCAAACAAAATTAGTAACCCCTTGTTTTATTAATGTCATTTCAGAATTTTCCTTAATCTATTATAATTTTTGTGTTCTTGTTCTCCTCACATTGCAGGCAGAGTGAATTCCTATGTATTCATTTGGAATATGCTTTCAAAGTGATGTCTAAATCTTTATTCTTCAAAAACACACAGACTAACAAGTATTTAGAGTGAGACACAAATCAGACAGTAAGTATGATATAAACATCATTTCTTGAATTTACTAAGTGCATTTCATATCAGTTAAAATGACTTAGATATCTATATTACATAACAATGAAAATTTAATAATTATTCTCATTATGAGTACAAAATTTTGTATAAATTCTAAAAATAAATTCTTTGTTTCTATATATGAAGTTGAATTAATTTTATGCAAGCTTATTATCAAATATTTTGATACTTATAAATTACACAATTTTTAAAATTTAAAAAGACTTCAAGAGACCATTATGATATACTTTCTTGCATTATATTTAATTCTATAAAAGTTAATGTGACACTAGAAATGTTTAATCATGTATAACTTTGAACAAGCTTTTATTTTTTTAATAAAGAAATGGGGTAATACAGTGCTAACTCATATGGTTTTGTGAGGGAGAAGTGAGAGAATCCAATAAAGTTTTTGGCTCAGTGCTTGTCACATAATAATTGCTAAAAGTTGGGCACTATTATAACTATTTCTAACTGTTTAGAAATTAAAATTTCAGTTTGTATTTAACTATTATAAGTAACAGTTAGAATTATCACATCTTTGTTCAAATGGTTTCTTTTTCTTGTTGTGTCAAATCCTTCCAAGAGAAAAAAAGTGTTACTAGGTCAAAAGGTGTGATCCTCCTTTTGTTTTTGTACCCTGTTGTCACATCACCCTTTAGCAAGGTGGTTCCCACTGAACAGGCTGCTGCCCACTGTTTTGGAGATGCCCAAACTCCTGGACCCTAAGGTTGCCCTGAGGCCTCTCTAGGTAACTGGAGATGAGCAGAGCAGGGGACAGCCAGGTGGGGCCTGGTGGTGGCCAGCCTGGGCCTTTCCAAAACAGGACTTTATTAAAGTCACCTCCTCCAGGAGGCCTTTCCTGGCCATCATTTCTGAAGGTCCAGCCTCACCTCTGACACTGCATTTCCTCTTGGTGGTCTCTTTTCATCTCCTCAGGCCTGATCTAACAAGGTGGATTTGTCTTGCATATTGTCTGTGGTCTCCACAATATGATAAAAACTCAAAGACAAAGATTTTATCCAGCACTGAATAGTGCCTGTCACACACTAGCACTCACTGAGCACATTATCTAGCTGTTGAATAAATGAAAGTGTTGTAAACATTATAAATGAGGTCAAAGTCTTAAAAGCATCCACCAGCTATGATCTCTGAGTGATTCACTCTTTTCTGGACAGCTGGGACCGGCCGCAATGTAGCCCTTGTTTCTATGAGGCCCTTTCCATTGCTAGGGACAAAATACCCCTAACTAAGTGCCATAAACCACTCACTTTATCACATTCAGAAATTATGCAGTCAAATTTAGATTAGGACATGGTAAGGGGCTTGTGAAGATTGAATGGCTGTGGTGACTCAAATGGCTGGTGACCAGAAGCATGCAGAAGCTTTTATTCAACCTCCTCCCCCAGTACCACCCTTCATACTGAGCTACATCCCTAATTTTTTCTTTTTAATTTTCAGACAGCATGTTACTAAGTTATGCAGGCTAGGCTTGAACTTAAAATTCTCCTGCCAGAGCCTCCCAGAATGCTGATGTTTCAGGCATGCACTGACATGCTCAGCTTGTATTTTTATTATTATCTGTGTTCTTAGCTATTTTATTCTTCTAGGAATAAATGCTATAAAATGTGATACTGCTCATGTCTTCCCTATTTCACATTTGGTCATCTCACATTGGTAGTTTATAAAGACCGTGACAAGAGGTTCTGTGTTTTTGTCTTTGTAGTGCTAGAGATGGAGCCCAGAGGCTCACATATGTGAGGCAAGTGCTGTACTGCTGAGCTATACTCCCAAGCCTGGTAGAAGTTTTATATCCTAGAAATGAAATGCCACATATCAGGGCCTGACTTGCAGTTTCACTGACTGACTGCAGTCTTAAGAAAATGAGGAAGATTAATGTTAAAAATGTGCTTAATTTAAAAGTGTGTCATGTCTGCACCTGTTATGTCAGCTGCATACAAAATGAAAATGTTCTTCTCCTACCCCAAAACCATCATTATTCCATTCAGCAAAAAAGTCACTCATATCATTGAGGAACAAGTAACATACAGACATAAGTCCAGATATTTGAACTTTTGTCTTACTACTTAGTCTAGAGAAAAGTATCATCCAGCACTTGTGTTGGAACTATAGGAGTTTGTCAGGTGGGGGCATAGGTCAATTATGGATTCAAAAATATAAAAAGCATCCTGTGAATTGATTGGAAAGAACACTGTGTTTTTACTCTTTATAACTTGTGTGTTACATGCCTTTTACAACAGCACAATTTGTAATACACATATGTGTATATGTAATACATATATATATACATAAACAAATATGTTGGTTATTAAACATTTACTAACACACTGTTGTTAAAATCTCACACTCCATGGGCCTTGTGCTTTCAACTCAGATGTGTCGTTAACATTCAAGCTCATAGTCTCGCTGCCCTTGTGTAACCTTTCGGGGCGATTCACCACTGCTCCACACAGAGCGACTCCATGTTGGGAGGTGGTATTCCTCCTGCATGGTCTACTCATTTTGGGAGTGTGAAGAGCTGCTCTGTGTCTGTTCTCCCCCATAAGTGCAGTTGTACTGAGTGAATAAGCTCTCTAAAAAGCAAAAACAATACATCCTGAATGGCTATAGCTTCCTCACATCTAAAAAATGCAGACTATCCACTTGGGGCAGATAGTACATGGTCTGATTGGGGTAGGACAGGAAGTGATTCCAAGCAGCCAAAAAGAAAGTTTGAAATGCTCTGTGTACATGCTCATTATCACCCCTTCGGTGATTACAAAACTGTCTGCCATGTCATCACCATTTGCTATCCTGCCCCACTTTTATGATTTCCAGAAAATAAAAACAAATCAGAAAGTAACTGACCACCTCAACAAACTGTCCTTGTTTACATGTCATTACAGAGTAGCTATGGAGCAAGAAACTACCAAGGTATAATCTTGTGCAAGATCCTGGTCATCACCATGGTTATGATGAGCTGGAGTGATCCTAGTTAGGTCATTCTAGTTATATATTATTTTGGGGGAAATATAATATGTGATAATACTGAATACTACACATTGTATTAAATTCATTAGCTAAAATTCAACAATTCATCACGTGTGTTCCTTAAAACTAGAACCTATGGAGCCACTATCATCACACCCAGATGTTATACACTGAAACAAATATTTTTCTCTCTAAAGGAAAATTAATGTGGAATTTTCTAGAAAGACTCAGTACTACCTAATGAAATAGAAATGATGATGTGAAAGAAAACATCCTAAAATTTCATAGCTCTCTGGGCTCAAATCCCCAGTACTTGATTTCAGAAAAAAAGGCCTTTTTTACATGGAAAAGACCTCCCAGCACTGTGAAAGCTATCAGTGTACACACATGGCTTTAAAAGTGAAGATATCACCAATGATTGAAAGTGCCAGGAGTTTGCCCAGATTTGCTACATATATAGCATGCTGAATGAGACAGATGGTGTATGACTATAATCCCAGCACTCTGGGCATCTGAGTTAAGGAGATCACAAGATAGACCAATTTTGTGACTTAGGAAGACTCTTAGTGTGTATCTAAAAAGAATATCTGAGGATATATCTGTAGTTCACTGTGCAGATGCAAAGTAAAAATTACATTTGAAAAATGCAAATGTAAAAAACTAATAGATGATAAATCGATTCACAGATACTTAGATAAAATAATAAAATAACTAGCCACTGATTTACTTAGCATGATGAAAAAGTTGAGCCATAGGCTTTCTTATCAGTTATTGGACCTCAAGTTATTGGACATAACTTCCTGGCAACATGACCAAGCAGAACTTGGAATCCTTGTAGAAGACATCACAATCCAGTACTGCCCACCTCCCCAGCTCATTTTCCTGGAGACACTCAGCGGAGAGGATGCTGAATTGTTTCTCCACATCCAGAGGCCACAACCCCAGGACCCCAGGCAGACAAAGTCTATGTCAAAAATTGAGAAAACGCCTCACACCATCCAGATGCTGCAGGCCAAAATGCGAAAGGCACGCAACTTTCACAGTCAGCCCAGAGACAGTCTCCCCAAGACCAATCAACTGTGAACAGCCAACATCAAGGTACCCACACCAAAACTCTGTTTACTCAGGTACAAATGACACTGAAACCCAAAAGATTCATGGGCAAGTTTCAACAGGCCCCGAGATACTCAGCAGCTCTGGACAGGTCTCAGCAGAGCTGGCAGCAGTAAAGTCAGACAGACCAAGATGGGAAAGGCACCCAACTTTCACAGTCAGCCCAGAGACGGTCTCCCCAAGACCAATCAACTGTGAACAGCCAACATCAAGGTACCCACCCCAAAACTCTGTTGACTCAGAGACAAATGAAACTGAAACCCAAAGGATTCATGGGCAAGTTTCAACAGGTCTTGGGACACTTAGCAGCTCTGGGCAGGTCTCAGCAGAGCTGGCAGCAGTAAAGTCAGACAGACCAAGGTGTCCAGAAGTAGAGACTGATGTCACAGTGTCCAGCAACCACCAAACACTAAGAAACCTACAATACGACCAGCTGGGCCGAGCCATTATGGAGAATTACTTGGCAGGGAGAGATGCCCAACCCCACACTGAACAGACAATAAAGGCAGTAAGGCCTCCCTCACCCATTAAGCCCTGTATGCCAGTTTTCCTGCATGACCAACCCTTCTCTGACCCATTCTTCCCAAGCACCTCCATGGCCTACACCACCTCCCAACAGGCCCAAGTTGTAGGTGGGGATAGGAAGACGACAAGCCTTGAGATTTTGTTTTCTTCTGAGGTCAATGAACTTCTAGACACCTGCTCATTTGGTAATAAACACCTCACAACAAGATGTGTAGATGAAAAGAGAGATCCATGCAATACGTTACCTCTGTTGCAATTAGAAGATCGATATATGCTTTCTGAGCTTAATACAGATTCTGAGCTGCTAATTCATACATCATCTTGTGCACCAAAGTATACTGAGGTGTCTTGTGTATCTGAATGTACTGAAGTGCCTTGCTTACCACAAGATGGAAAGGTGATTTGCATACCAGAAGATCCTAAAGTGCCTTGGGTGCCAAAAACAACTCTGCCTTGTATGTGTTTAGATCAGAGTTCTTGGGACTGTCTGCAAAAGGATACGGAGGCTCTCCCGCCATCATTTCCAGAGGCTCCTCAGGTGTTTTGGGTACAAGTACAGCCTAAGACACCTTCTCCAGAAGATAAATCCATCTGCTGTAGAGCTTCAGGACACTTGAGAAAGGTTCACTGCGCTAACGGCCACACATTTCGATCTAAAAGGTTCAGTAAGCATGCTAATTGTGCTGTCTGCTCAGACCCCACAGGGGGATTTGGACGCAAGGCATACAAATGTATGCACTGTAAAATTTTAGTTCATAAGAAGTGCCATACACTCGTCAGAGTTCCATGCAAGCACCATACTTTGCATGATGAATGCACAATGCCAATAAACCAGGTTTCCATGGCTTTAGATCCCAAACAGGAAGTAGTCTCATCAAATCCTAAAAGTCATGTGGGTATGCAAGAAATAGATAACGAGAATGAGACAAATACTGGTGAGGAAAATGGCAGGCCTTTGTGCTCTTCTGCTCTTAAAGACTTTGACTTTCTCCATGTCCTCGGGAGAGGAAGCTACGGTAAAGTTTTACTAGCTCGCCATAAAACAACAGATCACCTCTATGCCATGAAAGTGGTGAGAAAGGACGATGAAAACCTTATTCGTCTCCAGGTAGAGAAGCAAATATTGGAGAAGAGCTTGAACCACCCTTACCTGGTTGGCCTGCATTCCTGCATCGAGACACCAACCATATTTTTCTTTATCCTGGATTACATCAGTGGAGGAGACCTAACATACCATCTGCAACAGTTCGGAATCTTTCCCGAAGCACATGTGAGATTCTACTCCGGGGAGATCTCCTTAGCTATCAAGTTTCTTCATGAACATGAGATATTACACAGGGATCTGAAGTTGGAGAACTTGTTACTAGATGCGGACGGACACATTAAAATTACCGATTACAACCTATGTAAGGCAGGACTGGAGGCAGGCGAGAAGACCAACCCTTTCTGTGGCACACTCAGTTATCTGGCTCCAGAAATCATCAGAGGCGAAAGCTATGGTTTCAGTGTGGACTGGTGGAATCTTGGAACAGTCATGTTCGAAATGATGGTGGGAGAGCCTCCGTATCCTTTTGCAGACAGTCCCAAGAACTCTGATCTAAACACATACAAGGTCTTGCAATCTATGTTAGAAAGAGAAGTCCACATTCCACATCACCTGTCTGTCGAAGCCAGAAGCATCCTCAAGGGTCTTCTGAAGAAGGAGCCAGAGGTAAGATTGGGCTGTCACCCTCAGAGAGGATTCATCGATATTAAAGAGCATCCATTCTTTAACAATCTGGACTGGAACATGATGGAAAAAAAGCAAGTGCCTCCTCCCTTTAAGCCAAGTATTGGTACAGAATTCGGGATAGAAAACTTTGACCCTGAATTTACCAACGAACCTGTCCAGCTCACAGCTGATGACAGTTACTTTGTGAACAGCATAGATGAATTTGGGCTTTGAGTACATCAATCCCCTTTTCACATAAGAAGAATGAGTCTGATTGTCACCTTCCAGTTAAGCATCTGTTTGTATATCTAATGCATGACAAAACTTGTTACCAGCTTGCATTCAACTGACACTTTTATAATTGCCTGGAAGATCATTTTAATTTCCTTTTTCTATATGAAGATGCTCTGCTTGATTTTGGTTTTTGGTTGACAAAGTTACTTTTTATGATAAGACTTAACGATGAGGCAATTTCTTTTTACCAAGTTTGTAAACACACTCCATTTGTTGCTTGGAGACATATTCCTGATTTTTTTATTTACTATACTGGAAAATAATATCTCATTATGCTTGTTTTGCTCCCAAACTATATGACCTATATATTTAGGCCCCTGATTTTGTAATATTCAGGGAAATCCAAAAACAATAGTAACAACTTTGAACAACTCTGCAGAAACCACATACATTGTAGCTCTGTCTCCTAGGTCAAACTTTAACCATCTTAAAGTATTACACCATAAATATACTTTCTAATATTTAGTGGACATCAAAACAATAATGCAAAGAAAGTATTTCTCCAAATAAGGCTAAAATCCCAAAGGAGTTCTAATGTGGACTCAGTAGGAAACATTTTAAACAAATGCCTTGTGTGAGTATTTTACATTCTGAATGCCCAGTGGCAAAGAGCAGCTCTTAAAAGCAGGAACAGAAACATATGTCTGACATGTCAGAGTTCTCTGCAAGTTCATGTTGTGTACACTGATTTTTGTTTTTAAGCAAGATCCAAGTACTACCAGAAACACAGATTCCTTGCAAATGAACATGTCAATCCTTAGAAACATTTTCTTTTGATGTTTTCCTTACTTTCAATTTTAGCTATTTGATGGAATGATAAAATATGACTCCAAGCTTGGGAAAAGTTACATTTCTAATGAAATGGGGCATCCAAATAAAGAGAGAAAGATAACTTAGTAAATGCCTACACATTTTAAGTCATCCTAAATTTAAAACTGGATAGCTTGCCTAGAATTAAACATTATCAAGCTTGTGCCATTGTAACTTATTTAGACTATGATGGTTACTTTTCAAGTCCTTTGCACAGAGATGGCACTGAAACAGAGCAATGCTGTATCTGGCAACTCTTGAAATGACAAATTGCTAACTACAAATTGTAGTAAAATAATTTGAAGAACTCTGCCCCTGAAATGAACTGTACTACTATTTTTATTAAAATTCGTAGTTAGCAATTCATTATTTACACAGCTGCCAGATACAGCACTGATCTGTTTCAGTGCCATTTCTGTGCAAAACACTTGAAAAGTAACCACCATTGTCTAAATAAGTTACAATGGCACAATCTTACTGAAGTTTAATTCTAGCTAAGCTATCTAGTTCTAAATTTAGGATCACAACATGTGTAGGCATTTACTAACATATCTTTCTATCTTCATTTGGATGCCCCGTTTCATTAGAAATATAACTTTTCCCAAGCTTGGAGTCATATTTTATCTTTCCATCAAATAGCTAAATTTGAAAAGTAAGGAAAACATCAAAAGAAAGTGTTTCTAAGGATTGACATGTTCCTTTGCAAGGAATCTGTGTTTCTGGTAATACTCGGATCTTGCTTAAAAACAAAAACCAGTGTACACAACATGAACTTGCAGAGAACTCTGACCTGTCAGAAATATGTTTCTGGTCCTGCTTTTAAGAGCTGCTCTTTGCCACTGGGCATTCAGAAAGTAAAATACTCACACAAGGCATTTGTTTAAAATGTTTCCTACTGAGCCCACATTAGAATTGCTTTGGGCCTTTGGCCTTATTTTGAGAAACATTTTCTTCCCATTATTCTTTGGTCATTCACTTAAATAATAGAGAGGTTATTAATGCTATAAGCAGCAATTTACAACCTTATGAATGCTTCTGAACAAATTTTAAACAGATGACTCTTATAGATCATCTTCTCTGTTGCCCCAGTAAAGCCTTATCATTTGCACCAATGATTTATGCACAAAAGCAGAATTTTTCTTCAATGAAGTCAATCTTTATTCAGGGTGTTATGTGGTTTTTAAAATTTTTACGTAGTAAGATTTACTCTGTGTATTTTATGGGGACTTTCATTTCAAAAATTTTAACTATTCTATTTTTTTTTTGCAATCTTTTAGTGTAATGGCATTTATTATAAAAAGTCTTCTCAAAATGTTTACCAGGAAAATAAGGCAGTTTACAATCAGAATAGTTGACCTTTTGATATTCTAAGACATAATTTACTTTGCATAAGCCTGCGATCGGTTCTCTTTATTCATATTCAGCCTGAATTCAATTTCAAGTACCTGGTTCAGTAATGCTACAGTTACTTTATACATTTGTTTTGTCATGCAGCATGCAGCCTTGGTGGTCATGATACAACCTGTATTTGTGTACCACTTTTTTCCTCATGTTAAAAACCTTTAATTACAACATGTAATTCAAATCACAGCCATGAAAAGATTTTGCAGCCATATTGTAAAACCGCCATGGTGATCATACTGCATTTTCACTAGTTTCAATCTGGAGTAAACCTAAAGTGAAATCTGCCAGCTCCAAACCAAGACTCATGGTGACTTTCAATTGCTTTCTGCTTCACTCCTCACTCACTGAAGATCTGCTGTATTGGACTGCTTTAAGTAATGAACAACGTGTGGATGCAATAACAACTGGACATGGTTGTATATAATATGAATCTTAAAAATTCAATACATCGTGTGTTGTAATAGACATACTTAATTCACTCATGTGAAGTAAACATTCTCTGAATTTTGGGGCCTGCAATCTTTTGTTGCTTCTGTGTGAACCATCATGGTTCCTAACTGCCGTTATGTTTTGGCCACAACTGTCTCCTAAGTCTTCAATTAATACTTGATTTAATGGAAACTCTGTGAAGCCCAGCCTCCAAGGGATTGTAACTTGGGTGAAAAATTCATGGGATAAAGTCACTGACAGCTGTGTTTCCTATGCCCTGTGAGCAGGCTACGTGGATGAGATGTGCACATTTTAAGAGAGCTCTACTGCTGGACCTGAGAGGCTGGGGCCAATATTTCCATAGAAATGGAATTTCAAGACATTCAGTCCATAATGTGGGGTTTGGAGAACTATAATAGTGTTCTAGAAAAAGGTGACAAGACTGTATTTGAACAAATACGGATTTTTGTATATGAAAAAAATAAGATTACCCTGAAAAATAAGTCCTGGTGCATCTTTTGGAGCAAAATTTAAGGTAAGAGCTGGTCTTATTTTCAGGGAATAATATTTTTGAACTCTAGTTAACCCAACAGGGTCATCATGGGCAGCTGAGTTACTGCACCTGAATGAATAATATTTTCATGGTATGAGATGACCCAAGATAGCTTGGGCAGGGCATATGAATGAGTACCCTCTACAGTGGTCAAGCAAATGGCAGACGTGCAGGCCCTTTAGCATCTGCTTTCTGCCACCTTCTCTCTTCCAGTAGTCATGACTGATGTCTGAGTGTTCACTGTGGGAGCAGCACTTTGGGTGCAGTAACTCAGCTGTCTATGGGGACCCTATTGGTGAGCTAGAGTTTGATTCTTTTGTCCCTCAAAGGCCGCCAGCTTGGTGCTACTAGGAGGTGGTGGAGCCCTCAGGAGTTGGAATCTAGTGAAAGGTCTCCAGTCACTGGGCAGAACCCCCTGAAGGGGACAGCAGGATCTCACGCCCTTCTTCTTCTCTTCCCAGCCATGAGGTGAGCAGCTTTGTTCTGCTATGTGCCACCCCACACCCTGGCCCATGATATGCTGCCAGCAGACTATGCCAGTGGGCCAACCAGTCACAGAGTAGAACTTCCAGAATTGAACCACAATAAACCTTTTGTCTTTATAAGTTGATTACTTCAAGTATTTGTTACAGTAGTAGAAAACTGAATACCAGAATGGAGCTGTGCTATACACTATATTTCAGAGGGGAATTAACTAGAGGAACAGAGATACCAGGAGACTGACATAAATCAAATGCCTTCACGTAGAAACACAACAGGTGCTCAATGCTGAGGCTATACCGTGACTTCCGACTTCAGTGTTCCTTTGCCCAGCCCTGGTTGTTTCATGTTTTGCTTATTATATGAAGGATTTTTAAATGATTTTCATGTATAAGTGGTCCATATTTATTGTGTTATATATTTCTCAGATTACTTCTATGAAGCACGGGCTCCCCAGCTTCCAAGCCTGGGAGTCACACTAACAGCACTCCTGAGTCTCCACATCAGATAGGAACTGTCAGTTGCCATAATTACATGATTCAATGTCTAATGATAAGTTTCTTCCTATATGCCAACAGGAAATATATATACACATACATGTATGTAATTTATACACATTCAGAGGCATTCATAGAAACCTGTTCACACAGAGACAAAGCAGATACATATCTACTATACAGAAATTTATTAGAGAAATCCCTGATTAACATGGCTAGGATAGAGAACAGGACACCCTCATTAGAAAAAAAAGAGAACTGACCATGAGTGCATGGTGATATCAAAGAAAAACAAGCTCCCTGTGGTAAGCTCCTAGAATTTTGAAGTTATTACAGAAGTTAGTGCATTCTGATCAAACTGTCAAAGCAACTACAGAAATATACCTGTCGGGAAATACCACTCAGGAAAAATGCATATAAATTTTATTACTATAAATTTATAATTATAAGATTTAATAATAATAATTACTTGATTCATAGTAAATGAAAGAAATATGTTTCTCTTACTCTTAAAATTTCATGTGTTCATTGTAAAATTCAAGTGTGAGTTATTTGATAATGTGAATTTAAAGAAAGTTGAATATCCAAAATAAAAAGAGAAGTAATTTTGTTGTTAAATAAAAATGAACTACAGTTGATATGAGATTATTTTATGTTAAAAGGGCTTGTCTAGTTTACATGTGTTTCATGGAAGATCTTTTAAATTTTATAAAAACTTTGTTCAGGATTCGTATAAAGCAAATGCTATTATAAAATTGTTTTGACTTGGGGGAGTGTGGGGAGGGGAAGATAAATGCCTGTGTGTAGCTGCAGTAGAAAATGTGACCCCCACCACCCCCAAGCCAGTAACTTCAGTCTCTTAGTCACCCTGGTAATAGTTCCTGTTGCAGTTCTGATTGCTTCTATCCACTAGAAACAGCTGGCTACTGTAATGCACAGCTGGCCACTGTGGGGCATACTGTAAGAACCAAAGACAGCCAAGTACTCTGTGTTTGGACTTTCCCTTTGCAATCCCATAAAATCCTCTCTCCTTGAGCCTTCGGGGCCTGATACTCTCGGAATGATCCTGATCAGTGCTCGGCCATGTAGAATAAATCTGCCTCCAAATCCTAGGTGTCCTTTTGGTGTTTCTGCTTAATGTTGCACAACTCATCTCAGAAACAATTTGCAAATATATCTTTCAAATTATTAATATTAGGTTTTTAAATATTTTCCTGAAACATCATCTTGGATTATATAATTTAAATTAGTATTCATTTTATAAAAAGAAAGTAAAAATATGTTCAAATTCATATTGGTGGAGATTTAAGTTTTCTTTACAAGAAATTATTTTTTCTAAATTTCTAATGTTTAGCAAATTAATGTTAATTTTAGATATTATACTGAATATTATACATGATATAAGAAATATATAGATTATATATAATAGATTATTATGCAATCATCATAATATATAAATGTAGATTATTATATATAATCATAAACTGAAAAATTGATTTTGCTAATCTGAGAACTTTACAGATAAATATTCCTGGAAATTTCTCTCATTTAAAGGGATTATTTTGAAATTTGATATATTTATATGAGCAATAGAACTGCACTGAAAACTTTGATGCACTAATTTTATCATATTATTGTCTGACCATACTCATATAAAATAATTATTATGGTGCAATAAAAAGTCATTCAGTCAGTAATACTACAACATTCCCTTATGAATATATTTTATGTATATTTGGGCTACATAAAATCATATAAATTTATTTTCCAGATCTATGTCATCCATCTCTTATCATTTTAAGAAGTTCAGATCTATGCTGTCTCCATTCAACTTCTTTATACAACCTCAGAAGTTAGCCTACCTTCACCAAAAAAGTGAAAGGAAATTGAATAAACCTTACTCTACATCATATTATCAGAGGTGTAGACATATAATTAAAGTTACCTTGTAAAATAGTTCTAGCATTTTTAAAGTTTAGAATCTTTAAAATTGTGTTTTGGAAATACTACTTCACTTTTTTCTGTGTTCGACAAATATATATCATAAGATAGGCCCAATGTTTCCCATATTTATCTCAGGTGCTTTCATTTTTATTTCCATTGAACTGGAATATTTTTTTTAAAACACTACATTTCTTTTAGCTGCATTGTACACCCACTAAATAAGTGCATGTGATAGGACAGTGGTAAACACTAGGTTTTGGACTTCTATGCATTTCTCCAGGATGATACTCAGTACATTCCAGTTGAAGGGAAAACTTCTGGAAAGTTCAGACCTACATGCCAGAAAGTAATAGTGTAAGAATTCTCACCAGTGAATCTTTGGCAGATAATGCAACCCAACATAACAAGGACAGGGACGTGCTAGAAATTTATGCCTTAAAAGAGCCCCAAAGTCAGTGAAGAAAAACATTTGTTTGCTTTTTACTTCACTGATACATGTTTCAAATTTGTACCCATATATGATGTATTTTAATTCTTCTTTACCCAATCCTCTGTTCTCACTTCAAGAGACAACAGGCCCAGCTGCAGGCCTGCATGCCAGTGCAGGCGGCACCAGCAAGAACAGCCTGGGAAACGGTGCGCACTCCTGCAGGCAGGACCTGTGGCAGGGAGCAGTCTGAAGCAAGAGGGAGAATATGAAGCAGCCGCTGGTCATCAGGTGAGCATTATGTCCTACCACACAGACAGGAAGAACAGAAGTGGGTGGGAGCATTTTATATCAAAGAGCTCTAGGAGAAAGCAGGAAACAAAAGATCTGCCCCAGTTCCTAAACCCAGAAGCCAAGGTCATGCTCATAGGCTGCCGCACAAGCCCCACGTGACTGGAGTACGCATTGCTGGATTCTGACTTGGAAACTGCCAGAGAACTATGGACACCAGGGCAATTTTCCTACTTTTATTTTCCTCTGTCTGGCTGTTTGTTCTCTGGTTGGTTTTGCCTGTTTTGTTTGTGGCTGTGTTACTTTGCCTTTATTTTGTCTTTTTCTTTTCTTTCAGCTTTCTTTTTTTTTTTTTTTACCATGTTTTTTTTTTTTTTTTCTATTCATCTTATTTCTCTTTTCCTCAACTATCTCCTGATTTGGTAGCTTCACACGAATGAATATTGTTTCTTGTCTTTCTGGTTTACTTCAATACCCCTTCACTTGCAGTTTCATTTTCTTGTCTCCTGTGTCCTCCAGTTTCCCAAAATTTCAATTATTATCCTTAAACCCCAGCCTTGCTTCTACTATATTTGAATGTTTTCATCTCTCTGTCTTGTCCTTTATCTCTGTAAATTCTTCTCTCTTCCCACACAAGGTAAAATCACTCCATTTAGGGGGAAATCATTGCATACAAGTTCCTGATATATATTGCATTTTGTCATATAACTGTAAAATTTGCTCCTTGTTAAAGGTATCAGGTTGACAGTTACAGTTTGTCAGTAGATAGCCTGTACTTGATGCTACTATTATTGACAACTGTACTACGTTAGGCAGGATTTCATATATGTTATGTGTTTGTCCCTTGTATGATATTAAGGTGATTGTATGAGATCACAGTCACATTCCTTGTTCAGGACCAAAGGATTGGGTGCCAAGCCAAATAGATAACAATTTTTCATCCTTAATCAATTGGGAAAATAGGTTTTTGGGATAGACAAAAGACATTTCCTAGGGAGTCCTAAATATTACTGATAAAGATGCCTACCATAAGAAATCAGCAAGCAAAACAGTGAAAACAAAATAAAGTAAAAGGAGAAGATGAAAATATGCAGAAGCAAAATGCAACCCCAGACCCCCCAGCCCACCCATGACAAGCCCAGAGCACAGTGAGATAAAGGAAATCAAAAGCGAAGCATTGAAATTTTCCGAAATGATAGCAAAAGAGCGAAAAAAAAAAATGGAAGAGATCATAGAAAAAATCTCTCAAATACACAGATAAATGGTGATCAAAATGAAAGACATTAAAGCAGACACAAATTTTAAAAAAGAACAGGACTTTGGAAACCGTGAATGCCCAATGTAGAAAAGAAACGGAATCCTTGAAACATAATCAAATAGCAATTCAGATTAAAATCACCGCTGAAAGTATACGCAACAGATCAAAAATCTCTAAGGATGGAATATCAGATCTAGAGTACAGGATTGGGGCTAGTGACTATGAAAAGAAAGATTCCTTAAAAATTTTAAGAGATCATAAAAAATCCAATATTTGCTAGAGGAAGCAAAGAAGACCATCATAAGTTTGAATGGAATCAATGAAAAAGCTGGAGATGACACAAAGGCCATAAAAGTTTTCTTCACAGAATTAATGGAAGAAAACTTCCCAAACAGGATAAAGAATTTGACATGTACATAAAATGGAGTTTATAGAACTCCACACATCCAGGACGAAAGGTATGTCTATAAACCTATCTTCCTCAGGATAGTATGTATAAGCATCCATGTGTTTTGAGTAGATGACTACAGTGGCAAAGTAGGCATAGTAATTAGGACAAGTAAGATATTTTCACTGAAAAATCATGTCTAAATTTAGCTAATCTGGAGTTCTAATATCTTAACTCTGGACATATGTAAAAACACTAATAAGATTATCTACTGAGTTAAACAGACATATTTTCTTGTTCGCTATTAAGGCTTTCAAAAAACCTGCTATATTAGAATACAATTAGGGTTCAAATTTTAACATAGAGACATATGCTTATGTTTATACATATGAATACAGAAAGATATACACATATGTGTATATACACCCATATACATGGATATATAAAACTACTCACCTAAAACAGTAATCCAAGTAAGACCTTAGTACTAGATTTAAAACCAAACTATTAAACACAGGAAAGAAATACAAGAGAATTATCAGTTCAGTGCCTGTCCTTGTTATTCTTATGAGTGTTGGGTACCTGAGAGTGAATTTATTTGCTGAAATCGTCCTTGATGCCTGTACATAATGGCAGATTATCATTTTTTCCTAGGTGACATGAACAACAATCTTTACACCTCTTCTGCTCTAAACTTTCTTTAGTATAATTGTAATATGAATAACTCATATTTATGGATTGTGTTGAACAGGAAAGCTTTTAACCAGGCAATTATAAAGCTAAAAATATAAAATTTCCCTATTCATCAATATTTCTTATATAATGCAACAGAAGCAACGTCAGGACCCAGGACTCCTTGGATTAAGTCTAATAGGATAGAAACCAGCATAGTTGTCAATGTTGAGTTACATAGTTACTATATTATACATTAAAATTGATTATAAATAAAATGAATAATTGCAAAAAATAGATGAGATAGTCTAACAAATGAAGCAGAAGACACATTGTTGGGAAAAAAACAGATGTGCAATAAGAATGAAATGGTAATAAAAGAGAAACAGTCATCATACAATGTAAAATAGAGTATAGGAAGAAAGGCAGTAGCTTTTATGCATTTTTGGCAGGATATCCCAGTGAGAGGATACACTGGTATGTGTGTTACAAATAAAACAGAAATTTGCAAAAGTTTAATGCTGAGTTTTAAGATGAAATGATAAAGTAGGAAGAGTTATGTAGCACCTACATTTATTTTAAACACACATGTTAACTTACTGTATTTGTAAAATTCTATAAACTATTTGTACATGTGTTTAGACCCTCATATTTATACATATAGTAAAACTATAAAAATGAAACAAATAATTAGAAATTCAAAGTTTAAGAAATGTCTCTGTCTCAGGTGGAAAGATTATACTCTGGCAGTATTAAATATTTCTAGATTCATTTAAACATTTTGCAATGCACAAATGTATTGAAACATCACAAAGCACCACATTACAATGCACAACTTTTATTTTTTTGTTCATCAGTTAAAATTAATTTACAAATTTACACTTTTTAAATAGTCATGTAAGTTATAGCAAAGTGTTTTGCCAATTTAGTCACAGATGTAGGTACATATATTTCAGTATGGTTAGTAATTTTATTTGTACCTATTAAATAATTCATACTTTCCAATTAAATAAAACCATTCCAAAATTTACATATTAATAAAAGTATATTGAGTAACAAAAGTACAATTTCCTGCAGTCACTTAAATTTTTCTCTAGTTATCAAATAAGCTGACATGAACAATACTATATTGTGACTTTCAAAATGACCTTCATTGATTATTTTCATATAACACAGCCAAAAGTTTATGAAAAATTTTCTCTAGGGAAGTTAACTTCTCAATTCATACTGCCAATGAATGTGCTTTGGCAGAAAATTTGCCAAAAATGACATTTACTTTTCGGGAAATTATGATATCACTTAATAGAATCTTGGAGTATATAGCACTCAGACAACTGTCAAATTGGTCCTAGGCCTTGAGAGATCTGAATGTTCATTAGCAGAAAGGTTATATATTAACTGAAACTTAGCTATTCATTTCAAGATGCTGAATTAAGTATAGAGAGAATGATGAAACATTCTTATTAAAGGTGGCACAATGTTCAAGGTAGTATGAATGCTACAAGCCCATAGCTACCTAAATCATTTTGCCAAATAACTGGATTTAAAAATGGTTTACAATTTTGTGAGATACCAATTTCTCTTTTGGAGTTCAGACACCTTTTCAAGGATTAGATCCTTCAAAACAAGTATATCTTAAATTTTAGGAAACTCTTAGAAAAGAAAGTTAGTTAAATTCATTCTTATATCTTTCCAAGTGAAAGGAAACAGCTAAACAGTAATTTAAAATATGTTGCAAAATATTTCAGCATAAGAATCAGGACATTAATAATCCTACTAAATTTTAGAAATAAGGTGTTTGCTTTTTATTATAATGTTAACTTTGGCAAGGTTTGGGAGGCCCGATTTTTCTGTATTCACATATATAACATACCAAATTGCTAAGCAGTCTATTTGAGATGAAAAAAAAAAGTAATATTCATAATCTCAAGAAGAAATACTTAATTACTACATTTTTACTGCTTTCTTAATACGTTACTTGTATTTGGAACATAAGTTACCTCAATTGGCAAATATGTAATTGTGACTTTTGGTTTGTTTTTCCCTCGCTTTTAGAAAGAATATATTTTTCAAAAGTAGCCATAGTCTTTGTTTGTTTTTATAATAATCCATATTATATCAAAATAATACATTTCAATAAATACTGGTGGGATAAGTGATTTAATGAATGAATGAAACAAGACACAGCTAGCTCCTATAATTAATGTTATTTTGTTATGCAAATATATTACAAGAAATGAGACACAATATGACAAATAGTTGAAAGGTAAAGAAAATAGACTTTAAATTCTGGGAGAGTGGGGTTATGAGTGTGAATAATTCTTAGTAATTTCATGGCATTGGAATCCATAGAAAGCTTATGCACAGAGCTTTAAAATAAAATTAAAACAGAACCATCAATTGATATTGGAACTTGAACGTTGAAAATAATATCAACCGTTTTGCTAGATCTAAAATTTCCCAGAAAGTCTCATGTGTTCAAACTTTGTGTTTTGAAAGGTGCCTGGATCATCAGGGCACTACACCCATCAATTTCCTGCACTACACCCATCAATTTCCTGCACTACACCCATCAAGGGATTCACCAACTGTGAATTTAGCAGTTGAGTGTGCTCTTTAGAGTCTGGCTAGAGGCAGGTACCTGGGCCTTGACCTGGAGGCAACTAGGACTGTCTGGTCCCTATTCACTGTGTGAATTCTGACCACCGTAACATGAGCTGATTTCCTCCCATCAGGCCTTTCCATCATGCCATTTCTCTCTTGCAGACAGTGAAATATTAGCCTCAATAAATCTTTTGTCCTTAAGGTTCTGGGTATTGAATATTTTGTCCCTGCAAGAAAGAAAGTCACCAAAATAGATTTTTATACACAAAGCGGGATCATTTCTGTAAATGTATCTGACTTACTGGCTTCCACTTGTTTGGAAGACATTCTTGGGAGTAGTTTGAAAATCTGGCAGAAAAATCTAGAATACTGTTTGCCAAGGTAGGTGTGAAATTCTGATCAGAGCTAGAAGAACAGAATACTGATAGGAATGCATACAGTAAAGCTAGTCTCCGGAAGTTCCAGTTAGGAATACGAACTCCATTGGCTGTTGGACTCCTGGTCATGGGTGTCATACTCTGGCAAAAAATCAAATGAAATCTTTATCTAAATCATGAGACTATGCAGAAGGTTAATATTAAGTATGATGGATTTATGTGGCTGAGGA